GTTGAGTCGCAGAGACATAGATCCTGCCGAGTGGGCTTTGAACAATCATGTGTTCCAGGAGCTGACGTCACGATTCGGAACACCCATATTGGACCTCTTTGCCTCCACGAAGAACAAAAAGGTACCCAGGTTCTTCTCCAGGTTCAGCGAGAGGGAGGCAGAGGGTCTGGACGCCTTGAACATCAAGTGGCCGAGGGGACTCTTGTATGCTTTTCCTCCACTCCCGATTCTCGGCAGGGTGCTGAGAAAGATCAGGGAGGAGAAAGCCGAGGTGATTCTGTTGGCTCCTCACTGGCCGAGGAGAATCTGGTTCTCGGAACTGATCCAAATGTCCACACTGCAACCATGGAGACTACCAGCACAGAGGGACTTGCTCCATCAAGGGCCCATATTACACCCGGATCCAGCATGGCTCCAGTTGACGGCATGGAAGCTGAAAGGAGGGACTTAGAACTCTCAGGCCTATCCAAGGACATTACTGACATCATGTTTCAGGCCAGACGTCCCGCCACGAGGCGTATTTACAACTACACTTGGGCTGCTTTTAGCAGCTGGGCGGCTGCCAAGGGTGTGGACCCCTTAAATCCCTCTACTTGTGACATTATAGATTTCTTGCATGCGGGGTGGAGAAGGGGTCTACGTCCAAATACTTTAAAGAGACAGGTTGCTGCTATTGCAGCAGTTCTGAGTAATAGGGGGAAAGGTAAACTAGCTTCTGACAAGCATGTGAAAAGGTACCTGAGGGGCACCATGCAATTAGCTCCCCCTGTCCAGCACAGATTTCCGGTGTGGAATCTGTCCAGAGTGCTACAGGCGTTGACAAGGCCCCCCTTTGAGCCTCTGTCTTCCATTGAGTTACGACATTTATCTTGGAAGGTAGCCTTTTTGGTGGCTATCACCTCAGCTAGGAGGGTTTCAGAATTAGGGGCTCTCTCGGTGAGAAAGGAACTGTGTGTTTTTCAGGAGAATTCAGTAATTCTTAGGACGGATCCTTCTTTCATTCCGAAAGTAAATTCCTCCTTTCATTTGAATCAACAACTGACCTTACCGTCTTTTTGTCCACGTCCTACACACCCTAAAGAAATACAATGGCACACACTAGATGTTAAGAGGGCACTACAGTGCTATATACAGAGAACAGCTTCTTTCAGGCTGTCCGATGCATTATTTGTTTCCTATGGGTCACAGTCACTGGGGAAGAAAGTGTCCAAGGCTTCTATAGCATCATGGGTTAAGAGGTGCATATGTGAAGCATATGAGGTTCAAGGTCTTAAGGCTCCACCTGGGGTGACAGCGCACTCCACTAGGGCCTCCATTGAGGAGATCTGCCGGGCAGCCACATGGTCCACTTTTACAACTTTTGTAAAACACTACAGAATTGACCAGCAGGCCTCCATTGAGGCAGCCTTTGGGAGGAGAGTCCTCCAACGAGTATTAGATGAGTAACTATTGTCTCTTACCCACCCTGTCTGATCTTTGATACATAGCCAGTCTGGATGTCTTCCCCCACTGGAGGAGACCGAAACATTGGTCTTACCTGAAGGTTTCTTCTCTTCAGTGGGGCGAAGGCATCCAATTATTTTGACCACCTCTGAGTCATTAAAGGATATTATTTGTGGAATTGTTACTCGGATTACCAAAAAAAATAATAAATTGCAGTTTGGGTGCTGATTTCTTACCTGTTGAAGTTTTTGTTTATGATATTAATGGTAGTGTGAACTTTATTGGGCTAGGCTATTTTATGTCTGGAAGGGCGCCCTTGCTCTATCCAAGTAGGCATACACAAAAATTTGCACAGCCTTGCCTGAAGCGAGAAGGGGCGTGACCTAATCAGTCTGGATGCCTTCGCCTCACTGAAGAGAAGAAACCTTCAGGTAAGACCAATGTTTCGTTCTGAAGCTGTAAATCAGCATAAATATTTCATTTATTCTGCTTTCAAAATTAAGGTTTACAAAGAGATTGGCATTTTTGGGCAAACGAAGTTTCTGATGGTGGTTATGGTGTAGGTATATTTCAGTATTACACTAAAAAGGTTCTGAAGCCTTACTAACTAGGGCTTAACCAACATTCACTGCAATGAGTATTTCCTGATTGTGCTCCATCCTTGTTACAGAGAGACAGAAGTCTGTGACAGAATGACATCTCCAATACCTATTCCATCCCCAAGACAAACAAAAAACGGGGAAGTGAAAATCCCTGCAGCTTCTTCCAATCCATTCTTGGTGAATGTGCTTCCATCCTACATGCGGAAGCCGCCAACGTTGGAGGAGTGTGAGGTGGTGATTCGCCAGCTGTGGAACGTCAACCACATGCAGATGCAAGAGGTGAGGTCCCCTCTCCTGAACTTAATGGGGGTGAATCAGAGGTTGAAGGCAAGCAGAAAAGTAACTTTTCCTCTCTACGTTTGACAGCTGATGTATTTGAGATCATGTTTGGAAGACATCCACAAGACCAAAAGAATTCCTGAAGACTATATGCTAACTGGGAAGCTAGGGTAAGCTGGTTTCCGAGTTGAGAAGGGATGGTATAACAGAAGTGTAAATGTCATAGCCTAGAAATGTCGGGCCTTAGAAGTGCCACATTTAATCATATACATTGATTAGATGGTATGTTTCTGTGATACTTAACTGCACTTTTTCATATCAGTGACTCAAACATAAGAGACATATTTATGAAGTAATTAAAAGTAACCAACAAGTTTTTATCCTACCCTTCCTTCAAGCAACAAAGGGTAGCATACATGATCCCCTCGTTTTATCTCACAACAACCCTGTGAGGCTGTTTGTACATAACTGGCCAAAGGTCATCCAGCTTTATGAAAGCATGGGTTCTAACCCAAGTCTCCAGTACTCTTATCTATTACATCACAGAGGCCTCAACTAGTGAATGCTCTTGAATTTTCAATATTCTCCTTGGTTGCTACAACTAAGATTGGTGAGATTACTTGTTATACTTTCCTACAATTTTCTTTAGCACCTTATCAAAAATTAAGTGAGTGCATAGTGAAAGGGCACAGGAAGATTAGAATTCTGCCCACAAATTCCAGCTCTAACAGTTGGAATAATCCTGATATACATTACTTGTGCACATGTGTGACACGTTATACTTCAACAGTATTCTAAGATGACCACTAAAACAGTAGATATACTGGTTCAAGGGCTGTGAGCTGTTAGCCTGTCTTCTCTCTAGCTTCAGAGTCTGTCATGGACATTATTTTTTAAAACAACGTTCACACTTGTTTAGTTTTGTTTTTCATTTACGCTGGAAGAAGCTATTACGGTCAGATTTACTAGTCACTATGCTTTCCATTTAAAAACGGTACTGTAGTTAACTAGATTGTCAAAGGGAAGCACATCTAGAAGTTTTCTGAAAGATTCCCTGTGGCTGCACAGTTGTGGTTATGGAAAACTGCTGCTGGAATTTCTGAAGAGCAATCCAAAGTTGTTCTAGCTCAAACATACAAAATATGCAAAAGTCGGCACTTCTCTCTTCATTAGTAATTTTTCTCTTTAGGAATCAGGATACCACACGTTTGCCTAGAGTGAAGAATGTGCCTAAGAAATGGTAAGCAGTTTTGTGCTGGTGCATAGTAGTTCTAAGCTAAAAGAAAGTATTTGAGCCAGTATCATATCTAAGCTCTTTTTTAAAAAATTGGAACTCCCTTAGTACGATTAAATGGTGAACAAGCCATAGTCTAGTTGCTGCTTCCAGTTTTTTCCCCACTGTCATTCAATCAGTGTTTATGGTGACCAATCCAAAATGCTGCCAGGTCTTGGCACCACAACACATTTTCCTACAGAAGGGAGGGGGGTGCACTGTGCTGCCTGGCCCATCAGCGTGACATTTTTTTTCTTCCAGTTCCTCTTTTTCAAATGAGTGTAGAGAATGGGAATGATCTCATGACTTTATAGAGAAGCTGAAGATATGCAGAATGGCTGCTGCTGGAAGCGGGAGTGGCTTTTGTGCCCTTACCGGCTCTATGAGTTTACCCTATTTTGCCTGTTTTCCATGTGAAATCAAAACATTCAGGAAAATTGTCATCATGTAGCCTGAGGGAACAGATGAGTCAGGGCCCCAAACTTATGCATCAGAGAATTTTTAATCTGTATTTAGACTACTCTTACTCCCCCCATGTCTCATTTCTTTTCAGAGTTCTTTGCTTGATAATTTTAATGCTGCCAGCCTTGCTCTAGAAATTGCATTATTCGGGGAGGCTGCAGTGCAGACTCTGCAATTGCCTGTAAGATTCTAGTACATACTGCTGAGAAAGAAGCACAAAACAAGCATGCTTTAGCTTCTCAGTCTGACATGCCTACTTTGTTCTCCAGTAGGATTCTAACACCACTGCCTGCTGCTGAAAGAGCCGTTCTACCAGCACTGAAGCAAACATTAGGAAATGCTTTTGCTGAGAGACAGAAGAGAGCACAAGCTGCTCAGAGGAACAGGCTTCATCGGACTGTGCTTTAGCAAGTAGAGTTCAATCAGTCCCCTTCTACAAATGGTTCAGAAGCCACCCCCAGCCACGTTTGTTTCCCACGTTGTATACCGGATGAGTTTGCACTATTCTCCCAGCAGGGTCTTGGCCTGATGTTCTCTCTCATTTAACTTTCTGTTAAGTACATAAATAACTGCCTGTTTTTGTGCACTCAGCTGTAAGACCTGATGTTTTAAGCTATAGAAAACTGTAATATCCCTCTTACCTCTCTTAACAGCAGCTCTTTCTATGCTAGTGAAAGTTACTTCTCTCTGGTACAGAATTTGGGGGCTTTACATGCAAAATACATACAAACAACTCAGAGTAACCTATATCAGACCACTAGGCTGGGAACTGGTTTTGGTAAAGGCAATTATGAGCATCTCAGGCCGCTGTAAAACTAGCAGTGGTGGGTTAGCAAGAGAAAATGGCTGTTCAACATGGGAATAATACATTTATTACAGTAAAACAAAAGCTGTTGTTCAAGGTATGCAATATTGACATTTGTATTATAATCAGTGCCTACGAAGTACAATTTATAAAATGTCCTCAAATTGACACAGCAAGCCGTTCCTGTTTTGAAGAGAATCAGTCAGTTTGCAGAACTTCTGCAATGGTAATAGCAGAAGCACATGGAAACAGGAATACTTCTAAGAATGCAATTCCACAAAGACTAGCAACAGGCAGGAGAATGCAAACCCAGTGCTCAGTGAAGCAGCTTCTGTCTCACCCTAAGCACCCACAGGCAAGTCAGTTACTGCCATGCTGAATCCCAAGGTGACTAGTAACACTTTCAGTGACAACCTGAGCCATGTGGGAGAATAGGGAAAGCTTACCTGCTTCCTCAATCACCTGTCTGATCAGTAATAGCTCAATGGTCTTGCCCCATTGTAGGCAACCTCAGGTGAGGATGGCATCCAAATACACGTAACATAACATCTGGCACTGGACGAAGGCGGAAGGACACTGTCCCTTTTCCTATAGTAAGACTCCGTGACAGAAGTCTACAGATATTCTTCTCTTAAGAAGATGTTTTTTAAAAAAATCTGCTGACACGTCCATCTTGAGACCCTTGACAAATCCATCATATGCATCCAGCCACTGGCAAGGAGCACAAGAGCTAAACCTAACGCCAGACCCTCTTTATGAAGCCTGGCTCCTAGCAAACAAACATGAGTTAAGGCTTCTGCTTCTGTGGTTCTTCCAGCTGTGGCCCATCAAGGGGACATGATTTTAGGCAGCGGACAGGCAGGCCTGGCGGATACTCTGTGCCCAGGTGTTGAGGAGCGCTGTGACCGAGTGCTTGTCAGGAAGCTGCAGCAATTTGGACATCATGTAGCGATACACTGACTGCAAGAAGGGGTTTGCTTCTGGAAAAAAAAAAGCAAGATGGGCCCAAGCTTGAAAAATAATACAATAACATGACTTAACAGCATGCACGTATGTTGTCAAGACTCTGGATACCAGGGGTTGTATGGGGAGAAAGGCCCTGAAACTAGAAGATGTGGAGGCAGCCAATATCTGCTGCAACTCCTAGATCAAAAGGCAGTGCCTTGTCCAAACTATGGGTGAGGTAGGATTTCAGCTCTTGGCCGGTCTTTCTCCACAGATTTATTGCCAAAGCCTGGGACTCTGCATGGCCACCGCCATCTTAGAAAACCAGTGAAATGGAATGCACAGCCTGCAATTCAGGAACAAGCAGTCTCAGCTTTGAAGGCCAAAGCATATATTGCCAGTTTCTTTTTTTTTACAGCTTTAAAATCTGGAAGAGAGAATATCCTAAGCACCCTACTCACTTCTTAGTCTCTCATCTTTCCTTATTTCTTAATTTTGTGCTCAGAAAATAGTGGGCCACCCCCCAGCCTATTCCACCATGAGATCTAAGAAGTTAAGCTGATTAATATAGATGCCATAATCATCCACCCAACATGCCATCTCTTCCCTCCTCCTCTTTTCATACCATATTGTTGACGGTTATCAATCCACAGGGGGCTCTGATCTGGATAATCAGCTGGGACACTGAGCTGCAGTGGTGGAACATTTGGAAGGTTCTTATCATCTGAAATCAAAGACATTTGGCATTACCTAGAGAAATCTTTTCAAACACCATCTGAAAGCTGCTTGTCAAGCAATGTAATTTAACCTCTGGAATGTGGGGCACAAAGACTGCAGCCAACCGCTGACTGAACTATTATACAGCCCATTATAATCTCTCAGGTTTAACTAAGGACAAACTTCTAGCCTGTACCAAACAATCTGCTGCAGGTGGTGTGCAATGTTCCCTCTAAGCTGTGGAGTCTTGTGAACAAAAATTCTACTTTGTGAGCTACTGACATTAAAGTTCTGAGCAAGCGATTTGGCTGCTGCATAAATCATTTTGCTCTGGAGCCATCCTTCCTGAGCTGAAACAAAAATGTGTGAGCTGGAGGCTAAAAAACTGTGAGCTAGCTCACACTAACTCAGCTTAGAGGGAACACTGGTGGTGTGGGATTTCTGACAGTGCAGATGCTCCTACTCCTATGAACCCAGAACAGCTCTTCCTTCTTGCTTACCTAGCTTGCATATGAGGTGGACTGTGCCATTATTGCTGCAGTGGGAGGGATCCAGGTTTACCAAGAACTTGGGGTTCAGTCTAGCAACCTCTCCTTGTAATACATTCGGTATGGTTTGTCTTTCATCCTCTTCATACTTTCGCTTCCGAGGGGAAGATATTGGAGCCCTATGAAGCACAAACACACACCAGAGAGAAATATGAGAGGAAATGGAGGTTAATTAGTTTATTTGCGAAAAAGATGCAAGACATCTATTGACAAAGGTCTAACAAGAACAGCAAAAAAAGTGCTATTTAACATTTGGGAACAGCCAAAACAAAATAGAGGATGGCTAAGTTGGTCTGGTGCAATAAAGAGTGTCTTGTGGCACTTTAGACACTAGCAGATGTATGATTACATCTCCTTTTGTAGACTACATCAGGTGCCCACATCTAATGAAGTCCAGGAAGCTTGTGCCACCACACAAACAGCTGTATTTCCCAATCCAAAAGATCCACCTTCAGACTGAACATCTCAACAGCTGTAGGGAAGGACTATGGTGGCTGCTGGGACCCACCTGTGAGGGGGCATTACTTTAGACAGCCACATGGAGATTAAAAACCTCTGACTGAATTAAAGCAATGCATTAACCACTAAATCACAATACTGCTTGATTACAATGTTCAATCTGCAAGGCACAGCCCTTCGTCTCTAAGGACAATACTGAGGTTTGTTTGTTTATTCCAGGTTCAAAGTGAAACCCTGTTTTTCCCAATAAGCAGCCAATGTATTAATTAAAATTTTTACTTAAAAGTAATCTGATCCCTCAAGATCTGATTAAACACAACATTAAATTGATACACAGAATACTGGTATACCCCACAGAAATCAATCCTATATAAGCACGCATATCATTCTATTCTACCTAAACTGACTTTTAGAAAAAAAAAGATTATGTAATAAATGTGCTTTTCAAAGCGTCTTACACAGAGCTTTGTCTATTACGGAGATTTCACTGAATTCCAAATCAGAGAGTTTCAGAGGTTACAGGCTGTGGCCAGGTCATACAGAAGCTAATATAGACCAACATATGAACGATTTGATTCATGGTCTCTAAAGGCACAATGTAAAACACCTCTGATCATCCCAAAGAACAACTGTTGCATCTGTTCCATTTGTTCTTAAATTTATTCTGGGCATAAGGCCATTTATTTGTAAGTTATCATTTAAGGCTGAAAACTAAGTTAACCGGAACAGTGAAAAATGCAGGTCTGCAGATTTACACAAGAACATAAAAGCAAACTTTTAGGCCTACTGTGTCATCCTAAACAGTGATATAAAGTTTAACACACACACACCCCCAAACAGGACAGAAAGAGCAATCGTGATACATACGTGATAGGTGGGCCATGGATAGCTGTCATAGCTGGCATGAAGGTCCGGTAGAGGGAATGATTGAATACAGGGGAACGGATATTTGCCAGCACTGCATCGAGCAGGGGTTGGCACAGATACTGCTGTTTGGTGGGAGGCAATGCAGGAGGTGGGGGGGTGGGCTGAGAGAGAGATGTTGAATACATTTCTTAGGAGGATGCAGTCCTATAAATGTCACTGGACGTTACTGCGTTTTAAAAAATATATTTCCAATCATCCATTGAAAAGCACTGGCTCACAGAATACATCCATTTTGGTTCACTAAGCTCAGGCAACTTCCTGCAGAGATCCACAGCACCACTATGCGCCCCCTAACTACACACACCCTTTACCCACATCAAATTTGGTTGACAGAGACTGAATCAGACAGTAGAAACTGCATTATTGTACATGGACTGGCTTCCTGCCATGTAATCCCTGTTCCCTAGCTGCCCCAGTTCACCTATTCTGCTTGGCCTTGTAAACCGGCTTCCACTTTCTAGGATCTTTAGGTTTTATTGATGGACAATTCTTGCTCACCCAGCCATGGGCACCCAAACACATCCACATAACTATGGGCTCAGATAAAACCCTCAGAAAAGGAATTCCCCTGGACATATGACAGAGCCTGTGAGCCTGATGTCAAAGGGAAAGGCCAGTGCTATTCTTGGTTTCTGTAATATAACAGGAAATAAACTATGGCAGGGGAGAGAAACAACAGCATCAGTCTGTCTCTTTATCCCTGTCTTCCACCCACACCCACACTGCTTACCACAGCCATGTCATTCTTGAGCTTCTCCAGAGCAATTTCACATTTTTGCAAAGTCTTCAGAGGACAGCTGTGAAGAAAGGAGGATGACATTCTTAGAGCTTGTGAACATTAGTGCCGTGGTTAAGTGTGCTCATTGAGAAGGGAAAGCAATCCCCCCCTCAACCCAATTCACAGAAATGTGACTAAAGCAAATATGCAGTCTAGTAACACATGGATCAATTGGCTGCCCAAGGACTGGTACGGCAGCTACCGGCAGTTCCTGGGATTTCTTGCCCAGCACACTCCCTCTCATCCCCTTGGAGCTGCTCATGGAGGGCAGACGAGGACAGGAAGAAGTTTCTTGAAGCTGTGGGCACCTGCTAACTTGCTCAGCTCTTACTTGTGGCACACTTAAATACGAAAGAACAGAACAAAGAGCCCAGAGAAAAAGCACAGCTACTCAGATAAATGCCAAAAACTCATCTAAGGAGCCTTTCTTACACAACAAGTGAAAATGGAACTGCAGAACAGCAAGCACAAGGTATGCTCGATTCAGGAGCATTTCATTCTATCCCATTACTGCCAAGCAAGAAACCGATTCTGCTGATGGAAACTCCAGCAGATGAATGGGGCTACCTCAGGACTCTTCACATTTTTCTTATTTATAATAAGGGTTTTGAAGGCAATGAGTTTGGAAGGAAGGAATTCAACTTTTGGGTAGGGTGGAAGTAAAGCTTACCGTTTGGAAGGATCAGTCAGAATATCCAGAAGGCTTTTCATCTTACTCAGGTCCTTCTTCCTGTCTAACTTAAAGCAAGAGACACCTCAGAAATGCAGCTATGCTAAATTATCCTGCGAGTAAGAGTGATGCACGGCTCAACAGGGGCAGCCACGTTAGCATTTCAGCTTCCTTTTTATTTCAAGTTTGTTCTCCACAGGCCAGGTGCTAAAACTTCACATATTTCAAGATGTGCATGTTCCCTTTTCCTCCTGCTGAGTTGCAGACTTGGGTATTTGTTTGTTTTGCATTACAGCATATGCACCAATAAATATAGGGTGCATTTAGGAGTGGAGAAAAAAGATAACTGAGTTGAAACTGCAAGCTAGCCAGGTTTAGCCTCTACTTAAGGAAGTGAGCTAGAAGGATGGATGGATGGATTCACCCCAGACAGCAGAGCTGCAAATTCAGGCTGTGATGGACAATGAAGGGGCAGGTCAATGCTTTAAAAGAGGAACTGCCATAGGTATTTGCCCAGCCCAACCAGAATGTCTGAACCTCTTCACTCAAGCTCAAATTTCCATGTCAAAAAAGCAGACTTGCACCTTCCTGACAAGATTTGCAACAGATAGCACAAGAATACTGCTAGTCTGCACCCACTGTAAGGCACCATTGTCACCACCATCCTCCTTTTGGAAAGCAAGATGATGGAGAAGTAGGCCTTAGGCCTCCTTGTGTGCACAGGATCCAGCCTGGCCCAACAAACTGCAGTTTAGCTACAGAATAACCCTAAGTCATTCTGCATATTAAAGGGGTACTGTTTCTAAGGATGTTGGCAACTGATAGAAATGAGCATGCTTGACTGATAGAAATGAGCATGTTCAAAGCCCAGGACAGTTGACATGGCACTTCCTTGTCCTGTACCCACAATGGTACAGAGTTTTCAAGGCAGGCTACTGGCAACTCCATGTGTAGCTGAACATGTTTATCAGCAGCCCTAGACAATGCAATTCCCATACATATCCCAGGACCTTTAGCCAGCCCGCCATAAACTGCACCCTCTTGCTGAAGAGTCTCAGTGTTCGAAGGATCCAACTTGGCGTGTGTTTACCAGACAGTAAAGTGGTTTCCTATTGATTCCCATCTCATTCCCCATCCCAGATTCAGAAAGGACAGAGAACTGGAAGGGCCACACATACCTTCATTCTTATCTATTTTGTTGATCATCCTTCGGAGAGGCTCAATATACTTGGACAGCTGCTTGAGTTTCTCTAGATACTGCTGCTCCTCTGACTGGCTGGAGCTGGCTGGGCTCATGACTGAGTTGGGGTTGCCTTCAAAGCAGAAAGAGATCACAGGTTGAGTCCAAGGCTGCCAGAAGGTACAAAGGCCTGCCCTGAGCTTCCCCTATCCCTCATACATGGTCTGGCCCAATCTAATCTACAGCACTCACACCTTCTTTCCCACCTTTCCTGCTGCTACCCCTGAAGCTTCAATCTTGCAAATGTGACTGGCCAGGCTGGGGCAGGGAAAGGTGCTAGAAGAGCCTAGGGCAGATTTTTCTCTATTCCTAGTTGTTTCAGTATCAGAGAAAAGGAATTTGACAGAAGAGATCAGGGAAAGAAAACATCACCATCTGCCTATCAGGTACAAAGTATAATGTTCACCCGTTCCACCAACCCTGGCTTTAAAAAGGCTCCTTCAACCGTGTTCATGAAAAAAGTTCACTATGGGCAAAGACTTGGTTAAGAAGGAAGAAGAGAACCCGCTCTTGGACTGCTAATTGCATTTCCATACAAACCACCTGGTGTATTGAGTGGAGAAGGGACACTGAAGTTTTGCGGTGTTCGTGCAGCTGCTGGACTCTGGGAGGGTTGCGGAGATGGACTGGGGAGGAAACTGCTGGGAGAAGGGGCTGGACCAGAGCTGAAAGAAGAGGAAGACATTTTGCACTGAAGTGAGCAGAGGCAGCCATTTACCCTTGTAGATAAAACCTGATCGGTTAGAGCCAGCATGCTCTCGCTCCCCCTGCAAAGCTTACCTGACATTGGAGTTGGGCTGAGAAGTCGGCTGCCCTGGCTGGGGAGAGGGCTGTGGCTGAGGTGGTGGAAGCATTGGCTGGGATGTCTGGGCTTGCTGGACTGGTGAAGGAGAGGACATCATGGTGATGCTACTTTGGCTGACCTGGAACAAAAGGACTCGTAACTGTCGGCAAGAGAGCCTTTCCCAAGCAGGCTACAGTTAGGGTAACAACAACAGGCCTTCAGCCAATTGCCTGGTGTTTGCCACAGAGGCTGCCTCACGAGCAGTGGATATACCGGCAGATCCTTTAAGTTTACCAGTGTGTGCTAGTGCAAACATCTGTAAGAATGTCAGAATGTCAAAGCAAGGACAATGCTCATTTTGGACCTCCAAATCTCTTTATCTGATGCAACAAAACCATATTCCTCAATAGGGCATGCTCATAGAACATGCTGAACCAAATGGCCAAGATGATCTTCTGGGAGGCAGAGCATATCCTCTGCATGTTTAAAGATCTCAGGTTTGATCCCCAGGACCTCCAGTTATGCTCAGCACCCAGTACACAGAAATAGCTGATTGTAGTAGGCAATACTGAGTACTGCCAGTGTTTACAATTTTGCCCTCAATGTTTGCAAAGTCTAACAAAATTAGCATTAGAAGACAAGACCAGGCAAAGTCTCCAGCCCCTCAGTGGGAGACCCTTCACAGACCAGACAAGCTCTCTAAAATCCGAATGAAGAAGCCCAATTAATCATGATCTTCCCACCCTCAAACCAGGCCGTCTGTGTGTCTAGTTAGGGGGCTATAACATCATACTGTCACAAGACTTGAACTAAAATAGAAGAGACTCATTTACTCTGAGAAACAACTACCTTGAAGTTGCTTCCGCCTTGGATTTACAAAAAAGACAAATTTAGAGTTGTATGCTATGTTTGGTAGCTGGCTGATTTAAATTTGGTGTTACGATCCACTTCCCTAATGCAATATAGTAGAGAAATATTTTTGTATGATGCTCTATGCATCTTATATGTTCAATATCTTACTTATCACAAGGTTGTATGATACTGATGTGTTCTTGTTTTGTATACATGTTGTAATAAACTCAATAAAATTTTAAAAAAGAATAATCGGGCTCTTTTGCTCTCAAGGTAATTATCTTGGTCATATTTCAAGAGGGATAGGTGTGTTAGTCTATTTCTGTGAAATAAATCGGAGTCTAGTGGCACTTAAACCAGTATTTATTCTAGTATAAACTTTTGTATGTCAAAGAGCCATGTGTAATGGCCGAGGAATCACAAATCCTTGTAAGTGCTTCGGAGATGATATCAAACTTCTTAATATGCTCTAATTATTTAATAAATTAGCTAATACATTTTTCAAGAAGTCTCACTTTGAAGTTCTTCTGATGAATAATGGTGTCTCTTAGATCAGTGCCAGTTCTCCCAACTGGTTCCTGAATATTGCCATCCTTAATGTCAGTGTTAAGTCCTTTCTTTGCATAGGGACTGAGCTGTCTGTCATACGTAAAGAGCAAAAGGGCACTGCTGACACAGGATGGTGTATATCACATCAGAGGAAGAATAAATATATGGGGTCCTAATGATCTCACCCTGTATTTCATGGCCCTTTAACTCTGTTGTTTAAGAAGAAATCTTCGTTTTCTACCTAGTGACGTTCCTCTACATGTATCTAACAAAGTGAGCTCTAGTAGATGAAGTTTATGCTAGAATAAAAGCTTGTCCTTAAAGTGAATCAACTATTGCAAGTTAACCACACTTTCTTTGTTTCACCAGATTTTGAAACACTCCTTTTAATGTAAGCAATCTTTAGCAGTAGATGAGTTTCCCAACTATGTTTATATAAAAACAGACGCTTTAATTGCTAAAAGGAGAAAAGAAAGTACATTTACACGAAGTTCTACCAATATTGTCTATCCCCACAAATGAGAAAATCTTTTGAATGTTTGTAAGGAACTGAGGGAAACTGTTATTCCCAACTTATATAAATCTTAAATGCTGGCAGCCGTTTATTTAAATGCACTGCAAGGGCCCACCAGTTACACAGCTACTGAGATGTCACACTTCCCAAGTCAAACTGTCATGTGGGATTTAAGGCCAGATGTCCAACCCAGGTTGGACCTTGACTGCCTAGAGTTCCCTTTTGCAGAACAGAACTCTGCTCATTCAAGAGTGCCAGGACTGGGCTTTGCTGCTGTAGTACAATTCTCACAAACAAGTAGTTATTCATTTAGGTTCATTTGATGGAGTGCAACCTAGGGCCACAAGTGTTCATGAATGACCTGGGTGTGTGCATGCATCCTTTCATGCATCCAGAACCGGCAACATCAGCAGCTGCACTAGACTGTTCTTAGATGATGCCCATCTACTTCCAATGTTTTAAAATATGAGCAAGTAGATGCAATGGTGGGCAAACTATACTTGGGGAACAATCTCAGCTCGGCAGTGCCCTGAGAGCTGCTTCTAACATCTATAGCTATCTTTCTCCGGTAATATAAAGAGACTCTGTTACCTTTTAAATCTGTTCCCTGAAGCATTTTCTTTACATATCCGTTTTACCAAACTGATCTAATGATGGTTTTGCATCTCCTTCTTCAGAACTAATGGTTGCAGTTGTGACTGTATCCCATTTCATTAGCAAAGGAGACCTAGTTCCCCAATTGTCAGTTGAACCACACATTCACTGACTGACCTTCAGGAAATTACCAACTTCAGCCTCAGTTCTCCCACTGTAAAAACTAAAACAGCCACCTACCTCATATGTGCAGTGCAAGGTCAAAGCAGTAAGACTAAAAAGCTCACACTTGAGAGGAGAGAAACAATTCTATGATATCGGTTAAGCTTGCAAGCCCCTTATGATGCAGCCTGGTTCACTGTAAGGCATGCAACCAGTGCAGGGCTTGTCCTGGCTTTTCTCAAGCGGATGCTATCCAAGTCCCATAATGTACCCCAGGACATTCCTAAGAGTGTGTAACTAGACTGTGTAACGTGTTGGAAAGAAAATACCAAAACAGGCTTAAGGAAGCTCCATCTCCAGAACAAAGGTAGGAACCACTGGAGGAATGCCTTTGCAAACGGTGAGAATGTTAGAGCATTCTAAACAGAGGTTGCTCCTCCCAAGATTTCTTACAGTGAAGATACGATGTAGTCAATGTTAACTGTGGGTGTTGGAGATGTGGGTGAAAATCCATAAACCTTTTGGGTATTGATCTTGGACAGTCAGTCCTCTCACAATCTGTCAATATTCAAATCCATGACATCTCTCTCATGCAAGAATGACTGATTATACAGTAGAAGAACAAAAATGAACAAAAGTCAGTTCCAACTGTCTTTAGGATCAGCAATTTGAAGTATGTGACTGTTCCATAAGTGTAATGGTTGAGGTCCTCGTTGGACCTCCTGAGCCCACCAGAAGAATTCTAGAAGGAAACAAGGATATGCTTCTTGATCCAGACCTGGCAAGCCCTGCAATGGTTCACTTTAGGGATAAAGAAGGGTCACACAGAAGGGACTTCTCTGCGCGCTGGAGTGGACTAGACCAGAACAGACTTGGCTGCAGCTGGGCTTAGCAAGCAGGCAGATGCATCACTGAGCTTCTCAGGTGAAAGACTGGAGGTGAGGGAGGAGAAAGAGAAGCAACTATAATGCACAGTTGGGCATAGCATGTGGGAGAGAGACAGTAACATGGACACCAATTTAAACATCCAGGGAGGGACAAGAATCCATCTGCTGGCACTGAATACACATCTCTGGAGTGACTTCTGTAGCCACCCCCTGCCTCAGAGTTTACGTCCATGTTAGGCACACATCAGTGGCCAAATCAGCAGCTTACATGTTGTCCATTCATGTGAGCTGTGAACTCCTTCAGTATCTCTTCTGCAAGAAAGGGGTTGTCTGAAGTTCCATGTTTCCAGAAGCTGATCTAAGGGTATTGCAAGAGTTCCTTGTCATATATTACAAAGCTGCATGACAAGCTGCTAAATTTGCACATCAGCAGTTGAACACAACCTACAAATCAGCCCTCGGACAATGCAGATGGCTGGCGCAATCTCCACTAACCCTCGCGGAATCCCCAACTGCAATGTTTGTCAGCTTCAGTAAATACCTGAGGCATTTGCTGTCCACCCAAAGGAATGGTGCTTGGAGGCGTGGCAGATACTGCGGTGGTAGGCGGGAACCGTGGTCTTATTTGCATCCCACCTCGGGCCATAGTTGCGGTGATCATCTTGGGAGGACAGAGGGACAGACAAAAGTAATCGCAAAACGAGAAATGCAGCACACTGGCAGGATGAGAAGCACATGCAGCCTCCAAGGAGGTGAAAACCAGGTGAACTAGTCTCAGGACACCAACCCTGGCATAAACCTGCTCTGGAGAGACTCCTTGTTTGGCTTTACCAAAAGGCCATCTACCTGCCAAGGACACCCAGTGGACTGATAGCTAGAATCCAATGGGAAAAAAGGGACCCATTTTGAAATGGCTGAGGGTTTGGACCACAAACTGGCTAAACATTTGATCTGATTTGAATGTTGGCTGCCAAGGATCTATATTGGGTGCCAACATGGGATGCGTGGCTCTTACTCAATGGGCACCGTCCCCCACCCCACCACATGGTCCCAGCCTGTATTGGGTCCTATCTAAGGCCCAGGCTGGGTCCAATTCTCTCCGAAGGCTGTGCAACACAGACAATGCCACCCCCCTCACCCTGCATACAGACTCACATACACTGTGGTCTGACATAAGGTGCAGGCCCAAATATGGCACATGGACACAAGAGTAGCTGAGCCACCAACTAAGTGGGCAAACATTTCTGAGAGCCACTCCCATCCTCTTGTCTCTTTCTGACCCTTAGAATCCTTAGACTAGCCCAGCCACTTGTGGGAATGATGACAGGTGCCCTTATATTTAGTGCTCCATGTCAATGGATTGAAGCAGCCATAGCGACATGTCTTGGGGAAAGAATCACAGAGCTCAAAGTTGCTAACAAAAAAAAGTTAGAACACACATCAAGACAGAGAAAAGAAAAGCCACAACTTAAAGAAACAGCATCAAAATCAGCGCAGCTGTTAGTTCATGACATCACAATGTATCCCCTCCTGGCCTGGGGCAGGGAGGGATGGTCTAAGACAGGATTTCAAAAGGGAAATGAATGACTGGGTTTCAGAAACAAACAACATGCATGTTAACACACGCACACACTCAACATGCAAGAGCCACCACAAAATGCACAACACACACATACAGCTTCGGCTTCCAAGCAGTTATGGATAATGTTACAGGTCGCAGGGACAAGAGGTGCCATCAGAAGCAAAATGTGGTGCAGCAGCAACACAGCCTTGAAGGAAAAGGGGGAGGGGGCACCACTGGCAGAACACGTGCCCTTCCAGGCAGAGCCACACGGATGCCAGCATGTGCACAGAATGCAAGCGGACCACCTTGGGCCTGTGCCTCTTGCCACACCACACCAGAGGGAAGCCAGCCTGCTGGGGCCCCTTCCTCCAACAGCAGGTGAGCCAGAAGTACGGTCAGCTCTTTACAACGGATCTTGATGGAGCAGCTGCTGCTCAGCACTTTCCTGTTCTGAAACAATGGCTCAGAAGGGGAGCAACAGGTCCTTTGAAGGCAGCAGGAAGCAGGGTTCCTTTCACCATTGGTTCAGGTCTGCCAAGACTCCCCGTTCAAGTGGAACCACCACCTGGCTCCATTACTATGGGGAGGTCTAGGGGAAAGGGGTTCAAGGGAGACTGCTTGGCAAACACTGAGAATGGAAGCCCCTGGAAACATTTATTCAAGCAGAGAGAGGAAGATATAAGGGGGACACAGCCTGGATCTCCCCTGCACCACCAGGGCAGGAGCCCGAGTCACCAGCCCAGAAATTTCAAGACCAGTTTCCTTGCAAGGAAGAGCAATTCTTCCTCTGGACACTTCTTACAATGTAGCCAGCAAGTTGTTGAATTTGTACAGGGCAGACCTAGGTACAAATCCCTGAACTTGCTGGATGGGGGTCTAGACCTCACCCTGCTCCTTTCACCCCACACTCCCAAATCGAGGAAAAAAAATGAAAATATTAATAGCCAATCTCATGGGGGGGGGGGATTGTGAGGATCATCAAAATAGGGACCATACAGCCCACTGCCTAGTAAAAGTACCACAGAAGTCAGTGACGGACAACAGGATTTAGTTACAACAGCAGCTTTAATAAAGTTCGGTGGTTCATGCCCCACTCCCATCTGCCCCAGCAGTCTCCAACTGGAGAGCAGGCAGCCAAGAGTCAAAGTGGGAAATCCAAGTGACAAATCCAAGTGGAAGGTCAGCCAGTCTGTATGCCAACAATTCCTTGGTTGCCTTTCAAAGGCCCACCGAAAACTGCCAGGAAGACCCCTGAATTGTTGTAAGGTAAGGCAGGGGAAACTTTTTTGTAAAGCAAAATGTCACTCTAGTTACTCAGGAGAAAGTAGCCACCAGTGTCACAGTACAGCAGGGAGATGCATCCTGGTGTTGCAGAATGTGAATAATCAAGGTAGTTTCCTGAAGAGGGAACTACTATTTGTTTGGAATGAGAGGTAGAAAACACACAAAGGTTTCTTCCCCAGGACAAATACTTAAAATTGCAAGGTTCAAAAATTTGTTCTTCCGCCACTAAGTAGCTAAGAATTAGCCAAATTATAAAAATGTTACCACCTACATATCTTGTAAAAAGAATATGCAAGTAACCAACCCAGACTCCAGGGGTTTAGCTAGCAACTACTGATCTGTCTCTGCAGGGATTCCTGTTTTGATATGGATTTATTTATTTATTTATTTATTTATTTATATTTGAATTTCTACCCCGCCCTACCCCGGAGGCTCAGGGCGGCTTACAGGGCACTAAGTGCCAGGTTAAAACAATACAATATGATTTAAAACAATAAATTACAATAAAATGAACAATTTTATTTGCATCTTCTCTGCTGGCTTGAAAACTCAATTCCCTATATTAGCATAGCAGGACCTTCCACAAGTAGCACATCTATTTTTTTTTCCTAAGGGCACAATTGTCCCTCTGGAGTGACTGGAGCCCTTCTCACAACAATTGTGACCGCCAGCCAAGGGAGGGCTCCTCTTAATCGCAAGAACTTCCCAATCTGGACCACAATTTCAATGTCTCTTGCACCATATCAGCCTCTACACTGGCTGACCTCCAAACAACAGATTTGCCTTAGATATTTACAGAATAGAAGCTAGAACTTGAAATGAATCTACAGGAGGAGGAGTAGGAGGAGGAGATTGGATTTATACCCTGCTCTTCACTCGGAGTCTCAGAGCAGCTTACAATCTCTTTTCCCTTCCCACAACAAACACCCTGTGAGGTAGGTAGAGATGTGAGAGCTCTTTCAAGGGCTGCTCTTGAGAGACCCAAGGCCACACTAGCAGCTGCAAGTGGAAGAGTGAGGAATCAAACTTGGTTCTCCCAAATTAGAGTCCACCACGCTCCTAACCACTACACCAAACTGGTATCTGATGAAAGGAGCTTTGCCTCTTGAAAGCTCATACCCCAAAAAGCTTGTTGGTCTCTAAAGTGCTGCTGGACTTGAATCTAGCTATTCTATAGAAGCAAAAGGAGACTGTCCATGCCCCAGTGACCTTTAACAGCTGTGTCTTCCATAGTACCAAATGCCATGCAAAAGCTGTACAATAGAAAATGGTGAACTTCTGGCATTTGGAACAAAGCAACAGAAATCCAGAGAGCAACAGAAGCGGGTCTTCTGAGCCCACCCTTAAAGTCCTTGCCACCGCCACCCCCACTATGTGGGGGGAGAGAGTCTTAATTACATCCTGCCTTATACACTTGTAGTCAAGAAATGAACACTCCTCACCACCGTGTCATGTTCTGCCCCGTTTAATTGCTGCAAGCTAGTTACTCTGTCTCTCTGACAACTCACACACTGTGCAAGCAAAAGGGAGCCACCAAATCTTTTGGTAAGACTTACTAGGCTCTTCTCACCCCAGATTTGCTCATCCCCTCCTCCAAATGGAAGATCCATAACTAGATAGCTGTTGAAGGGCAGTGCAGAGAACCAACTACATGAAGTTGTGGGATGGGAAAGGGAGAATTTGGGGTCTACAAAGGGGAAGTGGGCAAGAGCTGGCACATCCTGCATCAGGATGAAAAGGCCTAGAACTAAGCAAAGAGCAGAAGATACTTCAAGTGGCTTCCTGCCATCACAGCCAAGAGTTCATGAGCTCTATCCGCACTGCACTCATCTTCATCACGCCTCAGAAAGGTCTACTCCTCACATGACCCCACCCCACCTTACTGGCTCCCTCTTGCTACCTTGACACTTGTGTTCTCTTAAACCACTATTGGCAGGAGACAAGCATCCAGAGCGCTGCCAGCAGGAAAGGGTCTGCCCAGCTGCTGGCTTTGTGATATTTTGGAATCGAGCAGGAAGAAGCGCTCTTTAGAAGGGCTTGCATTAAAGTGTGCAGGTGAGTGGGAAAATGTCTCCCTTGCAGGTTTATCACTCACAAGCCTTTCTAGTACAACACTGGTTGGGAACCTTGCTTCCTTCCTGTATTCATGTCAGGCCAACAGGATGAAGCCTGCCACCAGCGGTGAACTAATATGGATGACAAGGTCTTGGTTGGCTCACAGATGTGTTCGGAGACAGAAAAGAATTGCTGCCGAGAGTATGGGCCACTTCAGGCTGAGCTGGGCCACCAAAATGGTTGCCATGGTTTTGCACTGCTTCACAGCCATTACCAACGCTTGCCACCATTTGCAAAGTGCTTCACAATCCATGGAGGGAAAAACCACAGCAAAGAACAGCTGGAGATCTAACTCTGAGGCCTCTGGCATTCTCTTCCAGCGTCAAGTGGTGAACTTCAGGCGCTTCATCATGTGGCCCTGAAGCTGCAAGAATCTTCTCTTAACTACTTCTCATCCAAATAAGGCAGCTTCTTAGAGCTCATATTACTCAGAACAGACAGTCCATAAAGGGGCACCAAGCTCCTGTAGGGGAAATGTACTGTGTTCGCATTAGAGGAAAAGGAAGTAAAACAATTGGGAGTTTTCAAATGCTCCAGAAGCAACCAGAAATCCCCAAGGAGTCCCATCAGCCACCTGGCTCCAGCAGGCAGCCACTAACAGGTGCATGGCCACATCACTTTGGTCAACCTCATCACCTCAAACATGCACAGAAGGCCCCAAAAATCTTGCCTCCATCACAAGGCAAAGGGGACTGCAGGGGAAAGGAGGCTCAGAGCCTTCATCTGAAAGCCACCAGGAACCTCCTTCATGCTACCTTGGCATGCAATTTTCCACCAGCATGGGCCCGTGCGCTCAGGGGTGTGTGACTTACCGGTCCTGATGCTCCCATCTGAGCAGCCTGGGCCTGAGCAGCTGCCTGCTGTTGCTGTTGCTGCTGCTGTTGGTGCTGCTGCTGCAGAGTTCTTACCTTGAGTAACAAAACAAAGCACCAAGGTCTACAGAAATCAAGCCACCTGAAGCTTCCAAGCATCCATGTGGCTTCCTGGAAATCTCACTGGCCCTAGGCACCTCTCACTGTTAAACCTATGAAGTGCCTCATATGACGGACTGGTCCAGCTAGCACTGTATTGTTTGGTACAACTGGAAGTGGCCCTCAAGGGTCTGGGGTAAAGAAGAGATAGTCCAGCCTTGCTAGCCGAGATCCTTTGTACTGGAGATGCTTATCAACAGCATGCAGTTTAATGTACAATTGTTTCAAGTCTAGACTATAATAAACTTTCTTGTCTACAATTAGGATTTGGATCAGTGGAATAAGGAGGCTTTTGAGAAGAGAAGATGTTCAGGAATTAATTTAATTAAGTTTAGATGAATTCTTCCCTATTCAATATCACCACAGAAGTAACTCGGCCAGTGATATGGGACATGTTCAAAGCCTGTAACAGGAGTTCATAATTCATAATTAAAGATGGAGATTTACATAGGATAGCAAAAAGTCAAGAACTAAGATTAATAAAGGAGATTCAATCTCAAAACAGGGGAATCTTCAGGCTCTGAGTAATATTGAACATTTGAAAGCTCAGAATCAAAAAGAGCCTATATACTCCAGAGTATGATACATTCAATTAAACAGAAACATCTTGAATTCGGGAATAAGCCATCTAAACAATTAGTACAGGTTTCACAGAAAGAAATCAAAAGAATCTAATAAATGATGGAAGATTTATAAAATCTAGATATAATGCAGCAGTTTTAAAACTTCTGTGAAAAACTCTTCACCTCTGGTCAACCTAATATAAAGCTTATTAAGGATTTTCTCATGAAGGTTAAGATTCCTAAGGTAATGCAGCAGGATGTAGAGATTTTGAAAGCAACATTTACTACGGAGGAGACAACAGCTGTTATAGAGGACTTAAAAAGCAATAAGGCACCGTGCCTAGATAGCCTTACTCCTGAATTTTATAAAGCACTCCTGCAAAAAATTGGAAGGTCATTATTGACAGTGATTAATCCGATAACACTCAGACAGGAAATCCCCACTTAATGGGACAGAAGCCAAAATTATAGCCATTTCTAAACCAGGGAAGGATCTATACATGTTCTGCTCATATTGTCCCATTTCCCTGCTTAATCAGATTTTAAAATATGGTCATCTATGTTAGCTGAGAGATTGGATAAAGTTATTACTAAATATACTGAATATACAAAAGGGGTTCTTGGGGAACAGACGGCTGGCTGGAAATATCAGCAGGATTATAAATGTAATATAAAAAGGGTAAATAACTCAGGACAAAATCATGCTTCTCCTTCTCAATGCAGAAAAGGCATTTGATAGAGCATGACTATCTTGTTCAAGTTATAGAAAGATTTGGTCTAGGACAAAAATTTGGAAATTGGATATCACTTATACATCAATCTTAATGGGCGACAGTCCTCATTAATGGTAATATATCAGAGAAATTATCCCTTTCTAGAAGTACGTGTTGAAAGTGAAATTTTCCCTTTCATCCCTTTTGTTTGTCTTGGTCACAGAACCACTAGCAATTACAATAAGGGACAATGGAAAGATTTTAGGTGTTAGCTTTGGGAATCTGATCTCTAAAATTTGTTTATATGCAGATGACATAGTACTCACATTGTCTAGACCAAGACATTCCAATATTGCTAAGATCTGCTCCATTCCATGGACAGTGCATCCAATTAAATATCTAGGAATTTGGTTAAAACAAGTTCTTGATTCTATTGTGGAATATAATCACCAAAATTATTTGAGGAAATCAAAAAGGAGCTGGTATTTTGGTGTACTCTATTTCTTTCATGGCTTGGTAGACTGGCAATGTTGAAAATGAATATTTTACTCAGAATCTTGTTTTTATTTCTTAATTTAACATTACCTGTGAAAACGTATATCTTTAAAGCCTGGGAACAAATATTTAAAGAATTCATTTGGTTAGGAAAAATCTTACAGTGGCTATGAAAACTCTAATGGTTTAAAATTGAAAGATCTGATTTGGTATGATAACAGGAAACTGACTTGGGATAATTCTATTATATACGCCATATTGGCAATTTGGTATAAGTTAAAGGGTAGTTTTTGTCTGGGTTTGTCACCAATTACATCAGTATTCTTTAATGAACAGATACAATAATCTCCAAACCTGGAGAAATAACAACTTGGATACTTTAGAGACATTAACTATATGTCAATATGTTATCATATGAAGAGGTGGTGATAAAGATGGGAAGAATAAAACCCTCATTTTAAGATCTAAAACATCCTTTGAGTTCCGGTTATGGCTGCGCGCCCGACG